ATTCACAAAACTCAATTCAATTACTAATCATACTTATGAACAAGGGTGAAAATTGGAGGGTATGTAAGGTTTTTTTTTTTTTTTTTATCTTTTTTGCAATGTTGAACATGTCTAAGTTAAAGCCACATTGGGAATATTCCTATAGAATAAATTCAAATATTTGTAATTATCTGTGAATCGTATATATCATTTAAATTCAAAAGACATTAAAAAAAATGAGTCTAAAACATTTGAATTTACTGTTCATTCTAAATTGATCATATACAATTGGATTATTTGTCCGAATTGGTATCAAGTTGATAATCGTAAACACAAAATAATTCATTCAATGAATAAGTCACCCCTGAACTATCAAATATATAAGTTTTTGGTTCGAAAAAGTGAAATAAATGTGTTAAATTGGATTACATCTCACAACATACGATGATCAAAGAGTTAGTACAAGGTACAAAATCACATAGTAGCTAATTTTGATCTTGATGGCACACCATGTACCTGAGCTACAAGGTTATATATTTAGAGTGATTAGTCATGTGACATTGCTTAAAGCAATACGGAACTATTTGTCCATGTGTTTTTGGGCATGTTGCATAAAGACAACAAGCCTACTAAGGGCCTAATCCAACCTTGTTTTTTACTCTAATTGCACATGTTGTCACGCCTACTTCTTTGGCTTTATCTAAATAACTCAAAACTAATTGCCCTCCTAAAAGGATTTAACTACCTAATTGCCACACCACACCACACCACACCAATTTTTTCTAATAACTTTTAATACATGGTTAAAAAATTAAAATTTAAATGAGTTATTATAATTAAAAAATTAAAATTTTCATATATGATCTATTTATTAAACGAGTTTAACGTGTAAACTCGAATCAAAGAACACCACATGAAATATGAATCTAATAATTTTGAAATATTATTTTTCTCCAATACCTCAAGGAAACCACTGTTTTTAATCATGAATTTGACACTAAAATTGTGACAAATACTCAATTACAATGTTTCTCTTCCTGCTTGTGTCAAACCCTTCCAAAATTTTGAAATATATTTTCGGATATCATTTTTTTTTAATCAATTAATAATATATTATTTTATTTTATAATTTTTTATTAAAAATTTAAAATTTAAAATTATTTGTCAACATATTAACTTTTCTACTATAATAAAAGCTCAACACGACACCGTTGGAATCTCTCCCGGTATGTACGGTTATCCTTAAGCAAATTTAAGTATAATCTCGCGGAACACGTGTGCGGCAAAACGAAAGACAACTTTCACCAAACAAACAAAAATATCTCAGCACGGATCTATATGATTTGAAGTGTCTGAAAAATCTGTCTCAACCATCAGACATCGTACCCTTCACTTTGTTGACTTTGGTCTATAAGCCACGAATTTTCAGCCGTCTAATATGGATTTGTCAAAGTGTGTGATAGACTTGTAGGTCCATATGGAATTATTTGGAATAATTCGTGTTTAAATGTACGGTAAAATATAAATAAAAAATAATAAATTTATAAGGAAGAAAATTTAATATGAATAATTTTAAAAAAAATATTAATAATCATTAAATACGTTTATTTGATATCGAATTTATTAAATTTCATTTTATTTTATAATTGTAAAACAATATGTACTAAATAAATACAATTATTATCTCTGCAACATGGTGACAACAGAGGAAAAAAGAGCCGTCACCATTTCACTGTCAATTACCGGAGGTAAGGACAAGATGATTTGACTACCAAATCAAAAGGTGTGTATCTACAGTGTGTGTTTAGATAATCAGCAAGAATAGAAATAATTTTTTTTTTTTTTTATATTCTAACTCATTTCGTCCAATTATGTATACGAAACAATCCAATTGAATGGATGGACTCTACTTGACTTTTATAGATATTTATTATTATACCCGTTGATAAATCAGACTTGTATAGTAGTTGCCACCATTGTTGCCACAATAGAAATAGTCATTATTGTCACAACAGAACCACCATTGCCACAATAAAACACCCACTATCACAACAGAACAGAACACCTACCACCACAACATAAACGTTGTTGCCGCCGCCACTACCACCACAATAGAAACATTCACCACTACCAAATATGAGAGTTAGAGAAATTAGAGTTTCAAAATCATCCATTATCGTGGTGGTGCAAGTGATTGTGAACGATCGAGGTTAGGGGTGGTGCTAGTGAAGATCTCTTCTTCATTCGGTCCACTCCGGCACCCAAACCTATCCCAGCAGAAACCCTAGGCTTGGGCTTCATCGTTCTCACAAAGCGAAAGAGAGAGAGAGAGAGAGAGATAGGAGACAGACAGAGAATGAGAGCTAGAGGTTTGGACTTTTCATTGCCTTCACAAAACGAGAGAGAAAGCTCTCAAGAGAGGAAGGTGGGTAAATATGTCATTACCCCTTCATAACCCGTCGGCTAGGATTTAAACCCATGGTGGAGGTGGGTTAATTTTAACTCATGTAACAGGGTTAAAAAGCACTGTAGCATTCGGATCAAGGATAGATCTGAGATTTATATCTTAGGTCAATTTTAACTTCCCAAACAAAGGTTTTGTGAAACCCATTGCCTTATTACCCTATCCTTATAGAAGTTAACCCTCTTTAACCCATTACCCAAACATACCCATAATCTATAATTTATAATATAAAATAAGAAAATTTTTAATAAGTTCATCGAATGATCTCAAATTGATTCATATGACCACTAATATTCCTCTCAAAATTATTCAAAAATTATCTCAAATAGAAAAGAGCTCCTCTTTTTCTCCGCACCCAAAAATTATGACAGTTTTTAATTATGAACACCTCTCTTTCACTGAGGATCACTTACCCTCCACTCAAGCTAAAGGCTTTTATTTTGACTGTTTTTAATTTGTGTTTTTTCCCTTGAATGAAATTATTTTAACTTTGTTTGATAAAAAAAATAAAAAATTAGTGTATGGGTTAAAGAATCGATTCATGCAATCAAGATTTATCTTCAATTCTATTCGGATTCACAAGCTTGAGTTATTAAGTCGCATTTATCTTGTCGAAGACAGGTTAGAGATTTTCCCCCGTCATCAAAAAATAAAAAATAAAAAAATTTTGAGTCATTAGAATATACTATATCCGAATGTGAAAGAATGCTGGTTATATCTAACTTCCATTAAATGAAACAGTGAAAAAAATCTTGCGCCATACATTGTCACGAGGAAAAAAAAATATGATTAAAAATTCTCTTTACATGTGATTCATTGGAAGAACAAAAGACAAAGCAAATATTTATTTTCCATGGATCATTCATTGGAACCAATTATGCTAGGCAACATATCATGTGTTATGATTTGTTCGACTCCAAAAATCATCGCTATGATTGAGGTGGGTAATTTAAAAAATAATAATAAATGAGCATTATCTTGTGTTATGCGAACAAACATGACTGTTAAATAAAAAAAAAATTGTTGTTCCTTTGGTCGTTCATTGGAACCAATTATGCTAGGCTACATATCATTTGTAATGATTAGTTCGAGCCCAAACAAGGTGGCTACAAGTCATCAAAGTAATTCAAAATAGAAAGTTTTTGAGGAGTATTATTTCGAGTTTTTTAATTTAAGTATAGCAAAAGGTACACATATTGATTCAGTTTTTATGGTTTAGAGGTGATTGTTTGCAATCTTAATTCATATTAGAGCCACGATTCCAAAAGAAACATTGTGAATTCGATTTTTGGTTATATGATATTCCACAAGTTAATTTCATTTGTAAACATATTTGATGGTATAATTTATGTGGTTGTGTAGTAGAACTTGAGGCTAAAAAAGGTAAAAAAAGATTGGAGACTCTATGGGATGTCTTTCAATGTTTGAATAATCGACACAATGATAATAATAGAAAATGGAAATTAACAAATAGAGGATTTATAGTAATTTACCAGCTTAGAAACTTGGTTAATCTACTCTAACGGAGTCTCTCTTGCTTCGGGGAAAACTCTCTATTGCTTGAGAAAGACGATTACAATGCCCTTTAGAGACGATTACAAGTGTTCGATCCTTTACAAATGTGAGGGATTGATCACTATTTATAGTGTGTAGGAGCATGATCCTTGTATAATCAACGTAAACCCTCCAAGATTGTTATGGACCATGTGATGAAATATTTGATCGTTGGAGGCTACATTCCCTAGGCGTGATGTAACATTCTAGAATATGCGAGTTGTAACTGTCGTAGTTTGCACGAGAGTATGTTGTTGCTGACTCCCGATCTATGGTTCTTGAGCTAGAAATCATGAGCTGGGGTCACGAGAGCTAGTGTTCAGGCTTTGAAACATGAGGCTATCAAGATCAACCCACAGAATTAATGGACAGGGTAAATTAATCCAGCCCAAACATTCATATTATACATCAAACGAGCCCAATTGCATATGACATTTCCACTATCAAAAAAATTCAATCCCGCAAAAGATTGTTCACAGAACTACTATCGAGATTCTTCGGACCATATTTCCTAGTTGGCTTCCCTATTGCTCCTATTTCGTGCTTCTACTCTATTCTGATTTTGACGGATGGAACCTCATTGTACCCTAACTTGGGATCATTATATGCTTGGACATTAGTAGTTAAGTTCTACATCTTCGTCTTTGTTGTGTTTTTCATACTGTTTTTTTAAACCAATCATGCAAATACATAATTTGAGTACCTAATTAACGGTAAGCAAAGAACTGAGTTGGTTCCTGGTTCTACTTTTCTCAACAGAAAAATCAGAAATTTATTTCTGAATTTCTAACAACTTCTCCATCGACTACAATGGAAAGCCATCAGACCAAAAGTAAAACAAAGAGCAAAGAGAAAATACATCATCCCTTCCATACAAGCCCAAGCCCTCACATATTCCCCCACCATGCTCTTTACTCTGGCCTAATAATAATAAGCAATTAAAATTCCACCTCAACAATGTGAACTTTCTGATCCTCCGCGGGCATACGATCCAAATTCAAGGTCACCAATCCGGACTCTGAATCATATGCAAAGTCTGCCACCCTGATCCCACCATGCACTTCCTTGGCTTAGCCGATGAGTAAGCACCAAAACGGCCACACCCTTTAACCTCCATTGAAACTATTGCCACTACTTCTGTTCTCAAGTTCTCAACCCTCTTGCTTGCAACACCACTGCCTTCCCCTTCATATCCATTTTTTAGTTCTGACAACAGGGCACCACCATGAGCTTCATATCTAAGTGCCTCAATGGCTCCACCAGCATTGAACATGTCAATGAGCCCCAATGGCGCAAAGCTGAACCCAGGTGTCAAGACCTTGACTGGGGTAACGGTGAAAATGTCGTGCTCAAGGACCTTGAGGGACACGGGCATGGAAGCATTGTAAGGTCGAGTAACCACCTCACCACTCCGGTGACAGTAGACAGCACAGTCACCATTCCAGTTGGAGTCCATGGCAACTTCAGCAATGAGATGGACATCTCGGCCTCTAACATAGCCTGATATAGCTTCAGATTTAGTTTGGTGGAATGTGTTCTTTCTCTCAACGCTGTTCCATGCTGCACCTTGGCAGTTGTACACTCCAGTGTACTTGTTCATGTTCCAAATCTTCAACAGGCTGACACCAAACAAGATAATAGTAAGGAAGTGATTTAAGTGAAAACATCATATGAGAAGTTATATGTTCAGTCTCAGAATTGAAGGGCATACATATTTTCTAATCAAAACTGACTTTTACAATAAATTTCAACATCCAAGCCTCTGTCGAAGACTATGAGTTTGCCCAAAATATGTAGAACATGTGAAGTAAATATTATGCTACAATTTTGGTCCAAACAAGACACCTAGTTCTGGCTCACAATCCAGTTGGAAATTCACTTGTATGGTAATGGTAGTGTGAAATTAAAATTACTCACCTAACACCATCACGAGCAGGGTCGAAGAATAGGCAATCCTTGGTAGGCCGACCAGGCAAGCGTGCTTGGAGAATTGAACCGTCTGGCAGAACAAGTTTCTTTAGGAGATCAAAATTGTGCTTCCCAGGTGCATCACTGTTCAGAGACTCAACCTTAGTGAATCGTGGCAATCAATAAACAAGCATTGATCATGAGTACAGTGTTAACATATATAAGGTGATAGAATGGTAGGATTTCTAACCTTACGTAAAGGGGACCACCGCTGATCGCCCTAGCTGATCCATGGTACTCAGCCGCTGGATGGAGGGAGTGGAACATATCCCAATCAGGCTGCATAAATTCTCCAAGGAAGACACTATTGTATGCAACCGCGGCTATGTGGATGGTGTGTGACACGGGATCACGCAGATAGAAATCATCTGATGCTCTAACGATAGCCGTTTGTTTGGAGCTGTTACATTGAACCATTAGAACAGAACACATCTTAATCATATCCAAACTGGAAAGACAACAATGTCCAAGGTAAGGTATACAGATATAATAGGTATACAACTTGTTCAGCCTATCACCATATCATTTGCTAAATTTCTTGAAAAGACACTTGAATAAATTCCAATATAAAAGTTTAAAATCTTAACAGAAGCATTAAGAAAATCGAATTCTCCAACCTAGATCCCCCCTTTGTAAACTAAGCACTTGTTCCTCTCCTCTTAGAAAATTCCTTGTGAAAACCCCATGTGATCTAAGGTGTTTTATTTTGTCTTATCTCAGGAAAACAGTATAGTTTGACTGACAGATTTGGTTTTCACAATCTAGATACGCTTTTTAAAACTAAAGAAATGGATTGAATGAAAACCAGAGAAATGGGTAAATTTGAAACATCAATCATCTAAGATTAGCACAATTACAATTTCAATAAAGTTAATTCCTTGTCATAAAAATATGCGCTGCTTATCAATTTTCAACAAACTGAAAACATTTCAGAATTACTTGAAAAAAAAAGAAGCATGGTCAGAAACAAACTGAACAAAATTTGAACTTGTGAAAATTAAACAAACTGAACAAAATTGAGGCTTAGAAACATACCAGTAAAGTGCATCAGTATTGTGGCTCATGCAAGCAATGCACCCATTATCTGGAAAATTCCTAGAAACTGAAGCATCAAGAGCTTGATGACACAGTCTGGTCAGCTCAACCCTACCACCCAGACCACCCCCAAGAGTCTCCAACACACACTGCACATCCACCTTAACCCCATCTATACCAGCAGAGGCCAAGTAACTATGCAACTCACTGTAAAACTTGTACACATTCTTCGGGTTCACCAGCCCCAAACCCTGCACTGCAATTGCATCATTCTTCCACGTTGGCTCATTCTCTAGCACCCCCTTTGACACCGCTGGATACTTCATCAACGACCCATATTCCTCCATGTCCTTCACCCCTGGCCTGAACCCACCCCAGTAGCCAGTAATAGCGTGCCACACATACACATACTTCAACCCATGCTTTTCTTTGGCAATGTTGACTATGTTCTTGATCCCCATTGTTGGGTCCTCCTTGTTCTGAAACTTGGAATTTTCTTTAATCCCTGTCAATCTCATTAACGGTGGCTGTTGTGGTGGTTGCTGAGTTGGGTCACCGCCGACAGACTGCCACCCATCATCAATGATCACGAACTTAGGCGGTGTCCCACCGGCGGCGAGACTCTGGAGACTGGCCTCAACACTCTCCTGAGTCACTTCCTGATGAAAAGCATCCCATGTGCACCACCCAAAATAGTCTACAATTCCGGGCAACTTCTTTTCAGGGCGTTGCCTGAAAGTCTTGAGATGAAACTTCACAGCTCTAATGGCGTCTGTGATGGTCCCAAACGGGTCTGTCCCAGCATGAACATACACCGAATGAGTAAACGCCGACGCCATTGTCTCCGAATCACCACTCTCAAGACAAAGCTCGAGCTCGTCTTGTGAATTTCCCTGAAGACATGCTCGAAATGGGCTTTCAATTAGAGGAAGAAACACAGTATAAACAATCTGATTCTCTTCATCTCCATTATCGTATTCTAGGTGAGACCCATCTTGGGTTTCAACGAGTAAGAACTGTGTCTCTAGTGGTATGTCACGTCCTTGATCTCCCATTCTCTGAGCCATCCACCATAGCTTGAACCTGAAACATGCCATGAACCGTACGTCACGTAACGTACCGAGGGACACCACATGTTTGCTGTTATCTCCATCAAACATCGCACCGACGAACACACCTTCCACTGGACCGGTTGTCGTGCCGGAAGTGGTGATCACATTTTCTGGCACATTTGTTAGGATCGTCCGGTCCTTCACGATCAATTTCCGATCGGAAATGCGAACGGCCGGCGTAATTGTCATTGGTTTTACCACTTTTACCTCTTCCTCCTCTGTCTCGGTAAATTCGAATTCAGACTGAGTCCTCTGCAAATATTAAAATTCAACCTCGGTAAATCAAATGTATGTTCCGCAAACTAGCTTAAATTCGACGTCTTTGGGTTCAAGTCTTCATATTTGGGCTCAATGTTTGGGTTTAATAAACCAATAGATCCGATACAATACGGTATGCTTAATAAATAAATCGGATATAAGTAAAATAAATTAAACAAAATATATGATAATAATCATTTATATATCAATTATATACCATTTTTATACATGACACGAACATGATATGACACTGATTAATAAATGAATTAAGTATAAATAAAATATTTTTTTGACATAAATCTACCAAGACTCGACACGAATCTGTTTTATCCGATACGATTAGTGGCATAATTATGGCTAATATTATTAATTAGTTATAAACTTCTAAGGTGTTGTTAATTAATTTCCAAGTCAATCATGCATGATTAAATATGTGATGCAAATTAATGGATATTATATTTCATGGCAGCTAAATTTGCATTGTATTATTGACAATTGAAGGATAACCGCCGTTGAATATTAAGAAGCGGAGGCAACAACATCTTTCGTTTATGGTAGAAGAGAAGAAATTTAATGCGAATGATTTTGAAAAAAATATTGGTGGTTATTGAATGAGTTTATTTAAAATCGGTAAATGAGTTTATTAAAATTTATTTTATTTTATAATTATAGAAAAATGTAAACTTAAAATATATATTAGATAATCACAATTATTATCTCCGAAACATGGTGACAACATAGGAAAGAAGAGCTTTCCGAACCATTTCACTGGAGGTAAGGACAAGATGATTTGGCTACCGAATCAGAATTTATAATATAAAATAATAAATATTTTAATAAATTTATCGGACAGTTTGATATAGATTCATTTGACAGTCATTAATATCTCTATTAAAATTACTAATATTTTACTATATCTTCAGGTACAAATTACCCTTACAGTTAAATCAGGATATTTTGAGAGAGCGATAGAAAATCACATTCCACCAGAAACGAGCTCCTCTTTTTCTCCACACCTAAAATTATGGCAGGTTTCAGTTATGAACAACTCTATTTCCGTGAGGATCAATTACCCGCCACTCGAGCTAAAGACTTTTATTTTGAATGTTTTTAATTTGGCTTTTTTCACTTGAATGAAATTGTTTTAACTTTATTTGATTAAAAAAAAATTTAGTGTATAGATTGAGAAATCTATTCATGTAATCAATATTTACATTCAGTTCTAATCAGATTCACAAGCTTGAATTACAAAATCGTCTTTATTTTACCGAGCGATTTCTCCCGTCATCCCAAAATAAAACAAAATAAAAAAATAAAAATTTGAGTCATTAGAACATACTATATCCGAATGTGAAAGAATGCTGGTTATATCTAACTCCCATTAAATGAAACAGTGAAAAAAATCTTGCCGAATACATGCTTTTTTTCAATAATATAGCGCACTACGTTGCCACAAGGAAAAAAAATATGATTAAAAATTCTCTTTACATATGATGCCTTGGAAGAACAAAAGAGAAAGCAAATATTTTTTTTCCATGGATCATTCATCGGAACCAATTATGCTAGGCAACCTACCATTTGTTATGATTTGTTCGACTCCAAAAATCATCGCTACGATCGAGCTGGTTAATGTTGGAATATGTGGTTAAAATTCTTCGATAATAACCAAGTCACGGTTGACAGTTAAATCCAGAATATATATATATAACCCAAATCCGTTGGTTAAATTTTGCATTATTCATGACATATATCATAGATGCATTTTTTTGTTAAATTATTATATATTAATTAATTATTTTATAATGATATATACATACATATATTACAGTGATATAATTGAATGTTTGAATTAAACCTTTTCTAATCAATATGGGTGACTTGACTATAGGAACCCATCAAGTAGGGAAAGATTAGTCAATCCCACTGGTAGTATAATTAGCCTACTAGTTATTATGATTGCAGAGAGTTGAGGAAATATTGGTGAAATTGAGAAAATATTGGGGAGTTGAGAATATTTTGTTAAGTGGTAACGGATAGTTGAACGGATAACTAAATCTTCCTTTATGAATGAGGTTCTCTGTACACAGAGAGAACATACCAAGAAAATATCCAAATTGTGAGAAAATTTAATGAGGAAAAATCTCAACCCTACTACTTTCGTATTAAAGAGAATTTTTAATTCTCAAAGGCCAGCTCTTCATTCGTTAGATTCACCGAATTCTATTTTGTTTTTTCTACATTGGTATCAGAGTACAATCGATCAAATAATTTCTTACTGTCACAGATCGTATACAAATTTCACTTCACAAGTTCACTGGCCCAAGAGATTTATGAGCCAAAGAAATTTTATCCCATAACCAATCCAAGCACCCATTATCCAACCATTATTTTATTCTGCCATAAAATCCAATTCATTCTTTAACTATCTTCACTTTTCACAAGATAGTTAAAATTGGATTTAGATGTCCTCTATTACTCATTCTCTTCAATTTCTGTTAATGTAGTGCTAGATGAGTGACACATGTAAGATTTTAAATTTTAATGGATAAGATGTTTCTTCATTCATTTTTGTTGTTGGTGGAGTGTTAACCATTATTAAAGAATTTTCTGACAAAAAAAAAATCTTATCCATTGAAATTCAAAATTTTACACATGTCACTCATCTAGCACTATATTGAGGGGAACTGAAGGAAAAGGGTAATGGAGAGAATCTGAATCCGTTAGAATTTGGGTGGTTCAGACGGAACGGACTCGATCAACTATTCTGGTTTTTATACAGTTTGTGAGTTGCTCAATTTTGTTGCAAAAAATGTCAGCAATGCTATTTCAGATTACGTGGCAAATTTTTTATATATCACAAAAAATAGATTGTCGTTGCTGGACAAAACAATTGGTGTTGCAGTCTACTTGAAGCACTCTTGAAACCACACATTGGTAACAAAATTAAATCGGGTCAGCTGTAACCAATTTTACCTAACAGTTTATTTTTTCTATAATTTGTCAATATGGGGTCTAAAGCTGCTAGTGTAGAACTTAGCAAAACAGAAATATTTAATGGTACAAATTATTCAGTTTGAAAATGTAGGATACGTCACATATTATTTCAAGATAAAGTTGAATATGTCATTGATACACCATACTCAAAAGAACCACCCCTTAGAGCCGGAGAGGATGCTAGAAACACTTATGAAAGCTTTTTAGAGAACGACAAATTGGTTAGGTCAATCTTACTCACTTTTATGAAACTCGATTTAGAAGTTATTTTTGAGGAACATGAAACTGTTAAGTCTATGTCTGATGCTATAACCCAAGCCTATAGTACTACTTCTAACACATATATTCAACTCTTGATTGAAAAATATAATGACACTTTTATTAAAGAGGATGAGTCTGTTGTTGAACATGTCAATAAACTTGTGGTAATAGCTAAAGAGTTGACATTTGTAGGCAACCCAATTCCTGATAAAATGCAAGTTTTTACTGTTTTACATACTAATTCATGGGAGTCCATTGTGATTTCTTTGAATATGTATGGTCAAGATTTAACAATGACAAAGTTACCTTTGTTACTAGGCATTGAGACCAAGAGAAGAGCTACCAAAAAAACTAGTAATGTGTCAAATCTAGTTTCTAATTATAACACCCCCTTCACATAATATAATATTGTCCGCTTTGTGCCCACTGGCCCTCACGATTTTGTTTTTCCCAATATCTCAAGAAAAGATTTTATGTCATGTAAGGTAAGGGGCTTACTTATAAGCCCAACAACTTTCCCCTCCCCAACCGATGTGGGACACCAAGATCTCACAATCCACCCCCCCTTAGGGCAACACGTCCCCATGTAGCAGCTCGCTAGCTACCTGCCCGCCCACTACACGCGAGCACGTCAGGGGCCCACACTCGATCCAAGTGAGAGTCGACTTTGATACTAATTTGTAACACCCCTCTCCACATGGCATAATATTGTCCGCTTTGGACCCACTGGCCTTCACGATTTTGTTTCTCCCAATATCCACAGGGAAAAGCCTTAAGAGGTTTACTTATAAGCCCAACAACTTTTTCCTCCCCAACCGATGTGGGATACCAAGATCTCACAATCCACCCCCTTAGGGCTACACTTCCTTTGCAGCAGCTCGCCAAATACCTGCCCGCTCACTACATGCGAGCATGTCAGGGGCCCACACTCGATCCAAGTAAGAGTCGGCTCTAATACCAACTTGTAACACCCCCCTCCACATGGCATAATATTGCCCACTGACTCTTATGATTTTGTTCCTCCCAGTATCCCTTGGTAAAGGTCTTATGCCATGTAAGACAAGGGGCTTACTTATAAGTCCAACAACTTTCTCCTCCCCAACCGATGTGGGACACCAAGATCTCACAGTAATGTCCCATCTTCCCAAGTTGTTATGGGTGCCCCATCTAATAATGTGTCATCTACTCCACCTTTTCTTAAGCCAAGACAAGACAAACATTTTAAAAGAAATAATAAAAAATATAACAAGTTCAAGAGACGTAATAATTTTAAAGGAAAATAAATTGGTACTTGTTATAATTGTGGGCAGCCCGATCATTACAAAAGAAATTGCACACAAAAGAATAATGGTCAAAATTTTAAAGGATCAAGAGATATTGTGTGTGGTTTTTGAGTCGCTTCTTGCAGACTGTGACTCTCTTGCTTGGTGGATTGATTTTGCTTCTTCTCGGCATGTGGTTAAGACTAGAGAAAATTTCATTGAAATAAAGGAGGTGAAAATCAGTGGCCACAAGTTATACATGGGAAATAACCTTTATTGTGATGTGCTTGAAATTGACACTGTGAGAATTTCGTTGCCTGGGCAAAACAAACTCCTTTTGATTGATGTACTTTATGCGCCTAATATATGGCGCAATTTCTTGTTTGTGCCACGATTAGATGATAAGGTTTTTGA